TGGCACAGGTGCCAGAGGCGGCACTCAGAGCCCTCTCTGTGGGCACGTGTGCTGTCGTCCCAGTCTTTGGCCTTCAGCTTGGTTTTATAAAACCTTTTCGCTTTAGATCTTCATTGCCGTGTGGAAAAAAAAAAGGTTCAATCAATCAGTCAATTTCAACTTTTCACGGGAAAAAAAAAGGTCTTGCAAAGTTGGAATTGATTGATTGAACTTTTTAATCCCACCCAGTCTGCTGTTACCACCGCAGCCACGCTCACCCAATGGGCCACACCCACCCAATGGGCCACACCCACCCGGCACCCAACGATGCATAAGTGGGTTTTGGGTTGCAGTTTGGGCACTCGGTCTCTAAAAGGTTCGCCATCACTGTTCTATACTATTTCAGACAAATGGTCGTCCAATCTCTTCTTAAAAATCTCCAGTGATGGAGCACCCACAACTTCTGAAGGGAAGCTGTTCCATTGGTTAATTGTTCTCATTGTCAGGAATTTTCTCCTTAGTTCTAGGTTGTGTCTTTCCTTGATTAATTTCCATCCATTTTTTCTTGTCCTGCCTTCTGGTGTTTCAGAAAATAGGTTGAGACGCTCTTTTTTGTGGCAGCCCCTAAATTATTGGAACACTGCTATTATATCACCCCTAGTTCTTGTTTTCACTAAACTAGACAAACCCAATTCCTGCAACCATTCTTCATAGGTTTTAGCCTCCAGACCCCTGATCATCTTTGTTGCTCTTCTCTGCACTCTTTCCAGAGTCTCAACGTCTTTTTTATATTGTGGTGACCAAAACTGGATGCAGAATTCCAAGTGTGATCTTACCAAGGCGTTATAAAGTGATAATAACACTGATGATGTAATCCATCTGATCCTGCTGAACTCAACTTGTCTAGCATGATCTCTTACCATTTTCTTGCCTATTTTAATTTATATTACTTATCTGTCCTTTATGGTTCTGTTTTTGGTAGGTTGGGCTATTTTTTCCTTTTGTGTGAAGACGACCGATGCAAAGAATGAATTAAGCAGCTTTACTTTTTCCCTGCTGCCTGTCACTTTCTTACCATCTTCTCCCATTAGTGGACCGATTGTTTTCTTGACTTTTTTCTTGTTTTTTACATATTGAAAGAAACTTTTTTTTTTATTATACTTGCCTTTTGTTGCAAGTCTTAATTCATTCTCAGCTTTAGCTTTCCTGACCTCATCTTTCTAGGTATATGCTGCTTTTCTGCCTTAGTTTCTTGTCACTCTTTCCATTTTTGATACTGATAATATCCAATAAATATCCCAGTATGTTGGCATTCTGTCCCATCTTTCCATGTTGCAGAAAGTGCAATTTTCACTGTCAACCTCTGCATTATTCAAACCTTCAGCTGTTCATACGCCTTCTTTAGAAATTTAATAGGTGTTCTTTTGTGCTATTGTTTTCCTTTTTCTGTCACTTTGTTTTTCATGTTTCACCGCATAGTTCCCCAAATCCTGACCTGCTTAAACATTTAACCACTTGTACCACTCTCCAGTAATCAGAATTGAGCCTTGATCATGAGTTGTATTACAAAACCTTTTTCTTATTCTAATCAATGTACTCAAATCTCATTTAAACAATTTTTCATTGACTTCACATTCCTTATCCCAAACACCCATTCAATCACTTGCAATATTTCAAAAAACTTGCAAATTGTTTTCTTTCCTGAAAATTGTAGTATTTTGTTTTAAGGTCTATTTCAGAATCTTTGATCTACCAAATTACATAGGACAAAGCAGGATAAATGCCCATGTAGAAACTAAAATACATACAAAACCAATAGAAATTTCTCAGTACATTATCCTAAACAAACATTTTTCTGGAAATTCATAGTAATGTACCTTAATACAAGGTCCCCAACCTATGGGCTGTGGTCCACTACTGGGCCATGGCCTCTTGGCCATGGGGCCACGTGAGTTGCTGGCCAGTGTGTAGATGCAAGTGCTTAATCACTTAAATATGAACCAGCAGTATGTTGCATCCACCAAAAAAGCCAATGCAATCCTAGGCTGGATAGAATCAAGATCATGTGAAGTGTTAGTACTGCTTTATAACGCCTTGATGAAACCACACTTGGAATACTGCATCCAGTTTTGGTCACCACAATATAAAAAAGATGTTGAGACTCTGAAAAGAGTGCAGAAAAGAGCAACAAAGATGATTAGTGGGCTGGAGGCTAAAGCACATGAAGAACGGTTGCAAGAATTCAGTATATCTAGTCTAGTGAAAGAAGGATAAGGGGAGACAAGATAGCAGTGTTCCAATATTTGAGGGGTTGCCACAAGAAGATGGGGTCAACCGATTTTCTGTTATAAACAGATGTCTAATCTTTTCTTGAAAATCTGCAACATGGGGCACCCACGACTCTGGGAAGCAAGCAAGTATTTTTTTTACTGTCAGGAAATTTCTCGTTAGTTCCAGATTGGATCTCTCTTTAAGGAGCTTCCACCCATTGCTCCTTGTCTTGCCCTCAGGTGCTTTGGATAATAAGTTGAATAATATTAAGTATCAGATTGATTTCTTGAATTCTTGGGTGAGTAGAGGGGGATCATATCTTGTCAGTCAGCAAAAATATTCTCTAGTATTTCCAATTAATTATTCAGCACATTAGTTTTAAAAGCCAATTTATACAACACCAAATTACTGATATTCTATTGCAGTTAAATTTCTATATGCCATCTTTTTCAAATCAGTCCTGCAATTATATTTCTTGTGTTCAATGCCATTAATTACCACAACAGCTATTGCTTCCAGATCTCTCCCCTCCCCCACATAGATGTCACTATAATTTTTTCTTCCTGAATCAGTATTAAAAGTGAATCCAACTAAACATGGATTGACACTGATCAATTGTTATATGTTTTTGAACATATACAATATTTCAGATACCTCTTATGATATGAAAATATGAAGAAGCTAAAATAACATTTATTAAAAAAAGATAATATTAGTTGAATGCAGCCAGATCATCATACAAGTTCCCTAAATGCAATATTGGCAAGAGAATCTTTGAATTCCAAGTGGTAAATTGGTTTGACAATCTCTAAACGGGGAAATACTCCAGAGTATTTATTTTTATAAAATTCAATCTATTTCTCAAAAATTCTAGAAGATAGGAATAAAAAATAACTATAGTAGGAAAAAATGTTCTTGTAGGGAACTATAATAGAAACTTTAACTCAGGATTGTCAATATTGCTCCTTTTAGGAGAATATTTGGAACAGTTTGCTCTATGCTGTAACCTATAAAACTTCCTGTGACTCAGATTTAATTTATCTTGGTTACTTTGTTAGTGAAATACCCCTAGACTGGCATAAGAAGTGAAACGGTGTATCTGGCTGCCAGTCAGGATTAATGCGAATCTTTAAGATTCATAAAATTTATTATTCCCAAACAACTGTTATGAATTAAGTGATGGGCTGCTTTACAGAGAATACCAGGACAGTGACTTGTTTCCTGAAATACAATAAATCAGAAATTATCTTAGGTATAATTACGTCAGGTGAGTGCATAACGTGTAAATCAATGCACAGGGAATCTCAAGATATGACGGCAGTTGGGACTGGAATTTCTGCCACTAAGCCATGAATTCATAAATCACGTGATTATATCGCTTAGCAATGGCAAGTGAAAACCACAGGTCACCTCCTGCAACTTCCTGCCAGCTTCCAACAACCAAAATCAGTGGGGAGGCTGACAGATGACTAGGCCACAAACAAGCAGGCCAGCAGGCAGGTAAGTGGCGACTGCTGGGTGGGAGAGGGAGTGAGGGGATGCACAGAAAGCCATGCCAGGGCTTGGGGTACCTACTGCTATGTGAGGGAGGGCACACCTCTGGCCGGGGAAACTTAGTACAATTGCAGTTCAAAGAGGCTGTGCAATTGGCAGGGAAGGCCCAGTGTGAGCACAAGAGGGCTGGGAGTGGATGTTGCTGGGTAGGGGAGGGTGCACAAGAGTGCAAATGGCCAGGACACACAGCGGGAGCACAGTGAGGCCTGGAGAGAGTGTGCAAGGGTGATTGGGTGAATGGCAAGGCGCAGCGTGACTGCAGAGAGGCTGGGGGAAAGTATGCAGCCGGGTAAGACTTACCCGAGCAGTTTGCAACCCTCCCTGCCAGCTTCCCCATTGAAACTGCTTGTGGGAAACCTGCAGCGAAGGCTGAAAATTACATGACCATGGGATGCAGAACCATCCTAAGTGTGAGCTGGTTGCCAAGTGCCCAGATCAGAATCAAGTGATCAGGGAGGTTCCAGGACAGCTGGAAGGTCTAGGACCGGTCGTAACTACCACCCAGCGCATTATAATACCAAATGTTCACTAAAGGAGTAGCTGTTAACCAAGGACTGATTGACTACCTGTAAAAGAATTGTGATCTATGCTCTCAACTAACATTAAAGTAAAATTGCCTATTTTTTAAATAAATAACCAGCATGGAGTTCAAGAATAACTGATAGAGCAAAACAAACAGAGGGAGAATAAATAGAAAGAGGCTGAATTAATTGCATGTTTTTCCTCACCTCTTTCGTTCTCCCATTAACTGCAACCTGCTTAGATAAATCTTCAGGGCCAGAAGTCCAGTGGTTGCCTGGGATGTTAACATCTCCCCCAGGACAGGACAGGACAGGAAAGAGAGGCCTGAGAAATCGGAACTCGCTACTTAAGGATCCACCAGTCAAACAAACATCATAATGGTAAGTCCTGGGAAGCGACCCATTCTGTGAATCAGCACAGTTCTCTGGGGCATCAGCACTGGCAGGTGGGAAGTGAGGAACAGCTGCAGTAATTACCGAAACCGCCAGGAAGAACTCCTAAAACTGGTGTTGTTTGTGTTGTTATGTCTGGTCCTTGTGTTTCCTCTGTCGTCGGTTCGTCTAGTGGTTTATGAACCAGTTCCAAAATAGAAGAAGGCCAAGAACGTGTGACTGTAGGTGGGAGGAGTCCTTCCCTAGGCTTTTCGGTAGGTGTTCTTCCTGTAATTCGTTTGCCGTGCTGGTCTGGGGAGGAAGACCGTTGTCTCTGACCAGTATCACCAGCCTCTGCTTGTTTGTGTCTCGCTCATTCAGGGCTCTCCTGGTTTTCACTTCCCCATTCTGCGCTCCTATGCTGAAAAGGGCTGGGTCCGTGGCCTTCAACAATTCATAGGAAAGCCAAGAGTTTTGGCCAGAATCTGCATCCACTGCAACCACCTTGGTGACCAGATAGCCGGCCTCGGCTGACTTGGGAACCAGCTCATTGCATGGGGATGTGTTGTTCTGGAGGGGATACAGGAAGAAGGGAACGTTGTCGTTTTCATCTATGATGTGGATGCGGACAATCACTTCTGAGCTCAGGGAAGGAGAACCACCATCAGAGGCCCTCACAGTAACTCTGAAGCCTCTTATCTGCTCATAGTCCAGGGATCGGAGGGCATACAGGTTTCCAGTTTCAGAGTTGATTGAAATGAAAGAGGGCAAAAGGCCATCACCTTTCCCAGGCAGAACTGAGTAAGTCACTTTAGCATTCAGCTTTATGTCCAGATCCACAGCGTGGATTGAGCCGATGAACAAGCCTGGAATATGATTCTCCCGGATCTGCATGTCATATGAAGGCTTTTCAAAAAGAGGAGGGTTATCATTGATGTCAGAGATCTGAACATTAATCAGTCTTGTTGAAGTGAGCCTAGGAGAGCCGCAGTCAATGGCTGTGATGGTGATGTTGTACTCAGTGACCGTCTCTCTGTCCAGGGGACTTTGGAGCACAAGCTGATAAAAGTTGTTTGTGGTGCCTTTGAGGACAAAAGGGATGTTCACATCCACAGAGCAGACCGTTTTACTGTTGTCTCCAGAGTCTTGGTCTCTAACACTGAAGACAGCCACCACTGTGTCTGGGGGAGAGTCCTCTTTTAAGATGCTGGTCAGAGATATGATGGACACTTCTGGGGGGTTGTCATTCACATCTTCAACCTCAATCAGTGCCTTGCAGTGCCCTGAAAGACCCCCTCCATCTGTTGCTCTGATGTTCATGCTGTAACTCTTTTCTTTTTCATAGTCAATCTGACCCCAAACAGTGATTTCTCCTGTTCTTTCATTTAAATTGAACAAATTGTTTATTCTTTCTGGCACTTGATGGAATGAGTACAGGATCTGTGCATTTGAACCCAAATCCAGATCTGTGGCTTCCACCTTAACCACAAGAGTGCCCTGAGGCAGATTCTCCTTTACTCTTGCCTTATATTCAGACTTGCTAAACAGAGGAAAGTTATCATTATTATCCAGAACATTAATATTAATTTGAACTGTGCCGGTTTTCTTTGGAACTCCTCCATCAATAGCCATTAGAGTCAATCCAAGGTATGGCATCTCCTCCCTATCTAATGTTTCCTTCAAAACAAGATATATATTATCATTTTCATCTTCATTCTTATGTACTTCGAGCTGAAAATGCTCATTGGGATTAAGAGTATAATTTTGGATGCTATTATCTCCTAAGTCATCATCTTGGGCAGGTTCCAAGGGGAATGTTGTACTTTTAGGAACAGTCTCAAGAATGTCTATCTCCACATTGTTTTTCCAAAATTTGGGAGCATTGTCATTCACATCTTCTATCTTGATTTCAATATTAAAGATATCTAAGGGGTTTTCCAAAACAAGCTGAGATAGAAGTACACAAGGATCATTCTGGCCACATAAAGCTTCTCTGTCTATGTTATCCTTAATCAACAGATTCCCTGTCTGAATATCAAGGTGGAAGTATTCCTGAGTGC